GTGGTTGGGCGTGATGGCTTCAAGGGGTGCCCCTAACAAAATCCTGTTACACGGCACCCCAGAAACATGGGGAACCGACAGAGGATCTGCACAGCAGCGAGTGGTTTGTGGAACCAAGCAGAAAGTTCACCCGCTTGACCTTAACACAACACAAAACTGCCATCACACCTGTTGCATACCACAGGTTGCATAACCTTCACCACATCTTACTCCTATAACACACCTACAGTATACTGTAGTTTGGCTCGCTTTCCTGTACTGAGCAATAAGTTCCACCATCGTTTTTTTTTACTGTCTCGTCGCACAACCGCTCGCTCGTGTGCTCAGCGTCTGAAGTTTCTGCGAAACCTTATGCAGTAAAAAAACGAGAGTATTTCAGTTCGCCCGAAGCACATGTTAACCGCTTGGTTATTTAAAAGAACCACCTACTGCTTTGACTGTGGGGCGAAGAAAATTGCCAACGTCTGTCACTCAAGCGCCAGATCTCGTGGTGTTAGGTAAATGGCAGTTTTGCATCAAAACACAATTGTGCTAAGTGTTTAAAACAGAGTGTTTTCGGAGCAAAATCTGTGCGAAAGTAGTTTATTTTTCTTTAAGATAATAATTATGGTGAAACTCAGATAGTATTTTGAGCTCTGCAAATGACAGAATAGTGTTTCCTATTGACATTTGTTGTGTACGGTTTGTGTGGTTTTGGGGGTGAGTCATACCATAAATTACAGTGCCTGGCCAAGTTTACAGGTTTCTGGGGGAAATGTGAGGCATGCGGAGGACTCTCTCTGCAATAATGCTTCATAGAGAGTCCAGCACATACTGTACATCTGCCTGCACTGAGCTGTGCTCTTCAAACATGTGAAGCACAAACCTTTCGCCACACAGGCACCTGAGAGACTTCTTCTTTTTTTCAGCATGGAATAAACCTATTTCTTGTTCCTTTGCAGCCTACGCATGCTGACGCAGCTGCTCACCTGAACTATTAAGATTTATTGTTGTGTAGAAGGTACACCAGAATGAGATCTAGAAATCAGTGTGGCACCAAGAGTGCTGAGTTGATCACCTGTTAGTAGATGATTGATGACCAACATGATCTTCAAAATGGGTGGGATGGAAGGTTTGGCTGTTCAGAGCCACGTGGTAGGAGAGGAAACTTTCCTATCCTCTTTGCAGAGATGCCTGTTTTAATCAGAGCTGCACCTCTCCTGTCTCCCACTGAGTGCAGCCTGTGTGCTCCAAACCACACAAAAATGTGTTTAAATTGAAATAAAAAGCTTTTAGCATTACAATAGAGATTGATCTTCCCATCACGGTCTGTCCAGAGGGACTTACATTAGCATGATATTAATTCAGTCAGCTTTTGAATTATCACTTGACATATATTTAACTTTAAATTGAAAACAGCTCCGTTCTTAATTAGGACTTAAAACACCAAAATAAACAAAACGTTTCATCTTGTTTAAAGAGAAGTACTTCATGAAATGCAGTGACAGTGCCTTCAAAGAGCAGTTCCTGTCTGCCCTTTACATTCAATTTCCATCAGTTTTCTTCAATTATTTATGGCACTTATATAAGGCAATAAAATAGGTACTTTACATCATGCACTCAGCTGTACAATATGAAAAAAATAATAGAATTCAGCTGGTGAAAGAAAAAATATGTTTCTATCATAAATTTTTATTACTTCCATGTGTCTTTTGGGTTCATTTTCTTTAATTTGTTACACATCTATGACTGAGAGAGGAAGACAATATAAATTAGTTGCTTTTTGATTTCAGTGTGTTCTGGGATTATGACAAGTACAGAACTTGGACACCAAACTGCACGGTACAACTGAAAAAATAAATGTTGTATAGTTCTGGCAATACAGAGGCATCGAAAGAAAATAAAAAACCCAAATAAAAACAGA